CTGGATGAACTTAATCTTGTGTTTCTGGACTCAAATCAATGAAATACAGTTCTTGTCCCAGGAAGGCCCTCAAGGCCAGGACTTGACCTGAGGCTTAGTTCACTACAAGTGCTCTATAAATAAAATGGTATGGTATGAAATGGTGAGAAATGAAGGAATTTGTCACGAGCAAATTAAACTCAGGTCCAGCATGGCTGTGGGTGGGTCTGGAGATTTCCTGGTAGGCTGGTCTGATGTGAGGGCTGCAGAGCTAGCGCTCCCTGTTTTTATTTTTTTATTTTTTATTTTTAGATCTTTTTATTAACAACATATAAACACAGAACACCACTGTGGCTGCCAGCGCTTGTTTCTTTTTTCTTTCTCCCACATGTCAGTCAATCCAATAGGCGTGTCAGCAAATGACCAATCGGCGACCTCAATTTGTCCCGAAGGTAAACACCCCTTGTCTGTGAAGCTGCTCTGCAGCTGCTCAGGGTGTACGCTGGAGTCTGAAGTCTGAACCCTCTGTGTACAGTACACGCGTACGTACACGTATACTGTACAAACCTGGATGACCCTTAATTTTCTCCTTTTGAACACAGACAAGACTGAGGTTTTGGTTTTTGGACCTGAGCACCTTAGGAATTAATTTTTCAGTCTTTCTCCCTCCTTAGATGGCATTAATCTGTCCTCCAGCTCTAATGTTAAAAAGCTTGGTGTTATTTTTGATCAGGACATGTCTTTCATCCCCTACATTAAAAACATTACTAGAACTGCCTTCTTCCACCTGCGTAATATTACTAAAATTAGAAACATCTTATCTAAAAATGATGCAGAAAAACTGGTCCATGCATTTGTCACGTCTAGCCTGGACTATTGCAATGGTTTATTATCTGGGTGTCCAAATACTTCTTGAAAATGTCTTCAGTTGATCCAAAATGCTGCTGCCAGAGTCTGAACTCGAGTTTGTAGGAGAGATCATATCTCTCCAGTTTTAGCTTCTCTCCATTGGCTCCCTGTCAAATCCAGAATAGAATTCAAAATCTTGCTGGTGAAGATTCTCAGTCATCCAGGACATGATGAATTCAAAAAGCGTTCAATACAAAAACAACTGGACTTTATTTGTAACAGAAGACGTTTCGCTCCTCA